GGAACATAAGGAATAGCAGGGAGGACATTAGGAGAAGGAAGGGAAAAATGAGGGGGGAATTTGGATGGAGAGATGAACCATGAGAGACTATGGACTCTGAGAGACAAACAGGGTTTTAGAGGGGAGGGGGGAGGGGGGATTGGTTAGCCCGGTGATGGGTATTAAGGAGGGGCATATACTGCATGGAGCACTGGGTGTTATACAAAAACAATGGATCGTGGATCACCACATCAAAAACTAATGATGTATTGTATGGTGACTAACATAACATAATAAAATTAAAAAAAAATGTTTATAGCAGCAATGTCCACAATAGCCAACTATAGAAAGAGCTGAGATGCCCTTCAACAGATGAATGGATAAAGAAGATGTGGTCCATATATACAATGGAATATTAGTCAGCCATCAGAAAAGATGAACACCCAAATTTTGCAGCAATATGGATGGAACTGGAGGAGATTATGCTAAGTGAAATAAGTCAAGCAGAGAAAGTTAATTATCATACGGTTTCACTTATTTGTGGAACATAAGGAATAGCATGGAGGACATTAGGAGAAGGAAGGGAAAAATGAAGGGGGGAAATCGGAGGGGTAGATGAACCATGAGAGACTATGGATTCCGAGAAACAAACAGGGTTTTAGAGGGGAGGGGGGTGGGGGGATGTGTTAGCCTGGTGATGGGTATTAAGGAGGGCACGTATTGCATGGAGCACTGGGTGTTATATGCAAACACTGAATCATGGAACACTACATCAAAAACTAATGGTGTACTGTATGGTGACTAACATAAAATAATAATAATAATAATAATAGAAAAAAATAAATATGTATGCAGCAAACAAACACAACTCATTTCTATGTTTTGGTTTATATCATCAAAGTACAAAATTTTGCTTTACAAAAGGGAAAAAATATTATTTCAATTGTCACTTCTTGGGAGAGTTTAATAATTCACTTATCATATATTTACTATAATCCTAAATCTGAAGATAATTCTGTGTGGTTTTCTACTTCAGTGCATATCAAATGGATAATTCATGATTCAAAAAAGAATTGAAAATCTATGATTCCCAGATACAAGCTTTCTTCTAGTAGGTATTAAATACCAAATATTCAAGAAAGTATTTCCCAAGTATTCATAAATAATGTTCCATATATGCATGTAAAAATAAAAGATAATTCAGAACAATCAATCAATCAATGGCTGAATGTAACAAGCCACATGAAAATAAAATGCAACCTTTATAATTCTTTTCATGTAAAACTACAGGAAATCAAAACTAATCTACTGTCAGAGGAGCTCATACACAACTGCTTTTTTTCAGCTATAGTCACCCATGCCAGACATCATATCCCACACAGGATGTAAGGTGATGGGGTTTCTTTATGACCACTGTCCTTGAATCTGAAATAGTAGCTTCAGAAACCATCAGGACACAGACCCTCAGAAACTACCTCCTTTAGGCCCCTGATGTGAGCTTGACCACCAGCATGAAGAGCTGCACAGGGAGAGACAGATCCAGCACTCACTATGTTTTCCTGGAGTAATTATGTGCCCAGCACCATGCTAGACACTAACTCAGTGTCACTGACACTGCTACAATGGGTCATAGTCCTAACAATCGCATTTTAATGGATTTTTCACCAGAGCTCTTTTTTTTTTCTCCTTTCCTTATCTATCCCCTAACAATAAAGTTGAAAAGGAATAAGAAGTGTCCTTAATTCATACAGGCATTCATGATCCCACAATAACCACAGGGCCATGGGCTTGCTCCTGTGCATCACTGACTGTTCTCAGTGACCCTGTGGATGAAGCATTCTCATCCCCATTGTACAAAGGGGGACTCGGGGCTCAGAGTCATTACCCATCTTACCTCCCACACCCCTGAATTGGAAGAAAAATAGCTCCAGGACACCCCTGGAGCAGGACCCACAGTCACTGGGGTCAGATGGGACCCCAATGGCTTTCCGTAAGTAACAACCAGGGCACCACGTCCCAAAGTCAGAAAGAGGTGACTTGGAACTGAATCCTGCTGTCTACTTACACCTCGGGGCATTTCAGCCCCCATCACCGAGACCCACTCTCCCAGATGAGTCCCAACTACCTGAAGGCAGACATGCTCTTCTTCCCAGGACATATCTGTCTCTATTAAAAAATCATTAACATCCCACAATGATGTCAGGTTTCTATAGCAACTGCAATGCTCAGGCTGGTCCTTCACACTTGAAATGCCTCCCATCTTGCAGCCATCAGTTGCTGAATCCTGAGAAGCTGCAGCCTCTCAACCACCCAACACCACAGGTTCATTAGCTGCCTGAAGAGCTTTGTCCTAAGATGCAAAAATCAGTGATTTCCCAGGACATGTTAGACACCTCCTGCATCTATTTATCCATTCATCTACTTACCAGGCATTAATACCAAACTCTATACCATCCTTTTAGTTAAGAATCAGACTTCTCCAGAATAGAAACAAGTAAAGTGTGGAAAGGGTGGAGTGGTAAATTCAGATGTTAAATCAAAGAAGAGATAGCTCCTTCCCTTTAAGATTTCAGCCTGCGCAAGTCTCTTATAATTGATGATTTACAAATATGCTTTAATGCCCTGGGCCCCTCTCCACAACTCTCGTGACTCTCCTCTTTACATATACTTTCACCTTTGCACCAAAATTCTAAGAAAAATCTCCATACTCAATTTACATCTCCATGCACCTTCTCTCCAACTTAGTCTTCACGCATTATATAACTAGGCCATGTTCCCCCATGCTTCCATGGAAATTACACTTACCAACTTAACAGCCACTTCTTTATCACATGTACATATCTATAATGTTAAAATGATTGTTCAAAGGATGCAAACAACTATTTCCCCCCAAAGGGAAGGATCTCCTATCCCCAGATCAGAATTCAATTGCTTGGGTAAGACAAGGATTATATTACAATGGGATCAACTACATAAAAGCTAGAGTTGTAAAATACCTTCCATAGAATAGGAGTCAGATAACTGAAGTACTGTGTTTTTCACAAAGGGCTTTCAAATTAAGCACACATTTTCTCTGACATAGCTTATAATTTTGCTTCATTGAATGGATTTTGTAAATATGTTTTATGCATGTTAGCAAGAATTTGCTATCATCATTTCAATAGACTCTGTCATATGTTTTTATTTCTTTTTCAAGGAAATCAATCATGGAATAAAATCATATGAAAGTATAATGTCATTCCAAACTCTGCCATGGCTAAATATATTATCTGAAAGCATTGTCTAACATACCATATTTAGACAATACCATGGTAGTGATATATAATGGCAAAGTTAGGGAACTCTTTTGCAGTTTCCTGGGTGTTCAGTCAAAATCCATTTTCTACACCAAAGAAATCATGATACTAGACCTTCTTTTGGGATGTAGCCATTTGAAAAAACCTGAGAAAATATGTATACATGAATCCATATTGACATATATATAAATGTTTGAATTAACAAAAATGGATTCCATGATATAAACTATCTTTAAATAACTCCGAATAATATATGTGGATACCCTGCCTCCATGAGGTGAACCATATCTGACTCCCACCCCTGAGGGCAGGACAGACTTAGTGACTCACTTCAGAGAATAGAATAGGTGAATGGAAAATAGTTACTGTACACTGGAGAAACTAGACAAACACCACCCTAACCCTGTGATGAAGGTCAGCATCTCCAGTGATCAAGTGATGTCACGTGGGTATCATGTCCTCCTAAATATGAAGTGACAGAAGGGCACTTCAACTCTACGGTATTCTTTCTCAAAACCCATAACAGGAGTCCAATCAGAAGAAGAACGACAGACTATGCCTGCACGCCTCAACACTGTCAGGGTTATGAAAACAGTCTGGCAGTTCCTCAAACAGTTCAACAGAGAGTTACTAAATGACTCAACAATTTCACTCCTAGGCACACAGTCAGGAAAAATGAAAACATATGTCTGTATAAAAACTAGTATAGGAATGTACATAGCATCGTTATTCATAATAGCCAAAAGCAGAAACAACTCAAATGTCCGCCTATTAATGAATGGGTAAAAAAAATGTGGTATATTTGGCCAAAAAAATGAATGAAATACTGATACATTCTACAATATTTGAAACTTGAAAACATTAAGCCAAGAGAAAGACGCTCAATATGCGAAAGACAACATATTGTATGATTCCATTTGTATAAAATGTCCAGAGAAAGCCATCAATACGCTGTACCCAAAGAATTCTATCATTTTCATCCTGACTTCCAGAAAGTTCAGTCTGGTGAGTTTGGGTCAGAGCCCCTCCCTCCCACTTTCCTTCCCAGACATGTTCAAGCTACAGTTCAGAGTTTTGTCACAAGGTGGCACCAAAGTACCACTAACATCAAACTTCTCTGAAGCTTCTGCAAAGAGTAGAAAAATAATAATCTTCCAAAATCCCAGGCATTAAACTTACGAAAAATGACTCTAATTCTGTCTGGAAAAACTGCTAGGTGTAAAAGAATATCGTGAAAACATATACTTTGGTGCCTGCAGATGAAACACCTGGTAGCAGTGGTGCACCTTGGAAGATGGTGGCAGGTATTTCAAGGGTGGTTTAGGGTAGAACAAGGGGTAGGTAACTGAGAGGACAGGGAATCTGAGCAGGATCTGGGAAGCTGTGTCTTTTGTCATGAACAGGGGGTGAAAAGGGGTGGGAGAAGGTCGGGCAGCCTATACAATGTTGGGGTAATGGAGGGAGAATGCCCTATTCCCTGGTAAGGAACATTTGCCCAGTCCACACTGTACATCAGCTGACAGTGATGAGGCAAGAGATAAATCAATACACACGAAGTAGTTTGGGGTCAAAAGCAAATGGATCTTCTTTAATATACATATGAATTTTCCAAGCAGAATTGGTATCATAGCTATTTTGTGATATTTTTTACTCTTCGTAATGCGCTCCTTTTCATAAAAAAAGAATAACAAAAATGGAGACAAATGTGATGTCACCTGGTGGTGAGATCCAGAATGGCAGCTCTGAGTCTCAGATCAGGGGGCTCCACACAGGGGAGGGAGGATGGAGATTGGGAGCTTGACCTCATGGGATCAGCCAGCTTTCTGGATTTTCACTTAACTGGAACAATCCCTCTGTATACATCACTTGCCTAGAATTAAAAAAAAAAAAACAAATTTTCTGGGATGTCTAACCCTGAATTGGAGATCTGATGCTGGTCTTTACTGAGTTTCAACTATAACCAACAGGACCCACTGATGTGCGACTGTCGCCTTCTTTCTTTTTTTTAGGTGAAATTTACATAAAGTTCACCCCCCCCAAAAAAATAAACTATAACCATGAGTATGTGTAGGAGGTAGTAAAGCCAGAAGGGACATAGAAACACAAGAAACACACACACAGTCAATTCAGTTTTTTAAGAGAAAACAGGATAGTTTAATCTGTAAAGTGAAGTGTTGTTTGTTTTTGATTACAGCATTCAACAGGCAAATTCCATTCACCTCTTGGTACAGAAATGGCACCCTGCCTCTTCCTTGGGATATTGATCCAGATGAAATTATTCCTGGGCAACCCTTAACTTGTATCTACCAGCAATTGTCCCCTCTCATTTCTTATATATGTAAACTGTCTCTTATCCAGAATAACTGGAAAATAAGGTCATCTCTTCTATTGAGTATCCATATACAGTAGAGCACCACTGATTTGTCAGTGGATTCGATATATTCTGAACTCCAGATCAAGACCTTGCATTATTTAACCTGCCTTTGATAATCCCAAAGGCACTTGAAAATCTGGCATGTTCAGCATCACTGGTTTTTGTACTGGATAGTATTAAGGAATATATAAGGTTTGCTAAGTCTGTGCTGGCTCTGGGTATCCACTCTGAAAAGAGTTTATTTGAATAAGGTCTTGACACATTTGCTCTGTATGTCATTCTATAGGATCCAAATGAACCAAACAGGGAGCCCCCCTTTGCTTATCCATAATTGCTACATTTTCCACAATAAAAATGCATTATTTGTGTAAAGAAAGCTATAAAAACAGTGACACGAAGTTAAAGGTAAAATTCAGGGTATTTGGATTCCAAGAAAACAAGAGCTTACTGTGTGGTTAGTAGTCAGGCTGACTACACATAATTTGGTATAATCAACAATGCTTTTACACAGATTGAAATTTTGCTAAGTACTGCATATTATCACTAGCTTCAGTTTTCCCTCTTTCTCTGATTTTCACTACTACAGTCAGACACAAAGAAATTTAGCCATCAAAAATAGCTATTTCCAGGTAACTCACTCCCTCATGCTCCATATTTCCTCTAGTTTCAAACATAAATGGGATCCCAGCTCAGACAAGAATGATCCTTGCTGCACCCCTGCCACTTCATGCATCTTTTTATTCTGAGAGACTCCAGCTCACAAGAAAGTTACAAGGTTAAGGGCTACTTTGAGTTTCTGTCAGCTAATTCTTCCTTGGTTTTCAAAAAATAAAGGCGTGTGATTCTTTTTATGAACATGTTTTTGAGGTGGAAGTCTTTAGCCATGAGCTCCTCTTCGACATCATCTAGTGCTCACTGAATGTCACACTTGGTTCTTCTCTATTGGCTCCTATTTCAGAAGCTCAGAGTCCACACCTTTCTCTGCTGATCTATTAGAAGAGAGAGTCAGGGGATCAGACCGCACATGGGATAGAGGGGAAACGGAAAGCACATGAAACACAGGGGAAAGGGATGAGCATGTGCTTGCTTATCCCTACTTAGGTCACTGGAAGCTGTGCAGTGATGCTGTGCTTCTTCCCCAGCTCCATCCCACAGCCTCCTCCCCCACACAGCAGACACTGAAGCTCTCACATCATGGAAATGTGGGCTCTTCCCTGCTTGCTGCTCCATATCCAAGTATTCTCTCTGGTACTCATGCTATCATGTTCATGTCAGAGGCAGCAGGTTGACAAAATGAAGGAGGCAAAACTGGATTGGGCAACTAACATTTGGAGAGCTTTCTTCTTGCCACATAGTATAGGTTGCTATTTTTAAACTTTTAGTCTTTAAATGTTCAAAGCATTGCTCTGAGGTTGGCAACATTATTTTCTTTCCACAGATTGGGAAATACTCAGGCTCACAAAGCAAAGTACATTCTCAGGGAATTCAAGGGAGGCAACATATGGACACAGAAGCCAATTTGAAGGGGCTAACACTGCCCAATTCTGTGACAATGTGAGCATCAAAATATATAATTATAATGTCAGAGGGTAAATCTTTGAGCAAAATAGGAATCCATGAGTCATACTAAGAAAATAAATACATGAATAAATAAGTAAATGATAGAAGTGAATGGAGAGTGTTATGCTGAGCAAAATAAGTCAATCAGAGAAAGACATGTATCATATGACCTCACTGATATGAGGAATTCTTAATCTCAGGAAACAAACTGAGGGTTGCTGGAGTGGGGGGTGGGGTGGGAGGGATGGGGTGGCTGGATGATAGACACTGGGGAGGGTATGTGTTATGGTGAGCGCTGTGAATTGTGCAAGACTGTTGAATCACAGATCTGTACCTCTGAAACAATGCAATATATGTTAAGAAAAAAAAGAAGAAGAAGATAGCAGGAGGGGAAGGATGAAGGGGGGGAAATCGGAGGGGGAGACGAACCATGAGAGACGATGGACTCTGAAAAACAAACTGAGGGTTCTAGAGGGGAGGGGGGTGGGAGGATGGGTTAGCCTGGTGATGGGTATTAAAGAGGCACGTTCTGCATGGAGCACTGGGTGTTATGCACAAGCAATGAATCATGGAACACTACATCAAAAACTAATGATGTAATGTATGGTGATTAACATAACAATAAGAAAATTTTAAAAAAGAAGTGAATGGAAAAGCTCTACCCAACATTTGAATGCTAAATTATTAATCTAGAAAGAATGATAGCATTATAAAAGCAACACTTAACCGCTATTAGAAAAATGAGTGATTCAGGCAAAAATTATAAATGTATTTTCAGATTGTACCAAGTTCCACAGCGGTCACTGAGTCACCATGGTAACCATGCTGGCCAAGGAAAGCTGGGAAAACACAAACAGCAACCATCCTGCTTTATTATAAAATATTTTGAGAGCTTTCTTCTTGTTCTATTCAGTCCTCCTCCTGATTGGATGAGGATCATCTACCTTATGGAGGGCTAATTGCTTTTTACAGTTTTTTAAAAAAGATTTTATTTATTTATTTAACAGAGAGAGAGTGGGAGAGTGAGGAGAGGAAGGCTCCCTGCTGAGCAGGGAGCCCAACATGGGGCTTGATCCCAGGACCCTGGGATCATGACCTGAGCTGCAGGCAGACACATAACCGACTGAGCCACCCAGGCGCCCCTAAATAAATAAAATGTTAAAAAAAAAAAAGAAGACATACCAATGGCCAACAGACAAATGAAAAAATGCTCCACATCACTTGGCATCAGGGAAATACAAATCATAACCACAATGAGATACCACCTCACACCAGTCAGAATGACTAAAATTAACAAGACAGGAAACAACAAATATTGGCAAGGATGTGGAGAAAGGGGAACCCTCTTACACTGTTGGTGGGAATGCAAGCTGGTACAGCCTACTCTGGAAAACAGTATGGAGGGTTCCTTAAAAAGCTAAAAAGTAGAGCTACCCTATGACCCAGCAATTGCATACTAGGTATTTACCCCAAAGACACAAATGTAGTGATCTGAAGGGGCACCTGCACCCCAATGTTTATAGCAACAATGTCCACAATAGACAAACTGTGGAAAGAGCCAAGATGTCCATCAACAGATGAACGGTTAAAGAAGAGTTAGTATATATATACAATGGAATATTACCCAGCCATCAGAAAGGATGAATACCTAGCATTTACATTGACATGGATGGAACTGGAGGATATTATGCTGAGCGAAATAAGTCAATCAGAGAAAGACAATTATCATACAGTTTCACTCATATGTGGAATATAAGAAACAGTGAAGAGGATCATAGGGGAAGGGAGGGAAAACTGAATGGGAAGTCATCAGAGAGGGAGAAAACCCATGAGAGACTCTTAACTATAGGAAACAGAGGGTTGCTGAGGTAGGTGGGGGAAAATAAATAAATAAATAAATAAATGGAAAAACATATTTGATAAAATACTTAATCAAAAGAAATATACAAATTTCAAATAAGGACATGAAATGATGCTGAATATTGCTAGTCATTAGGGAAATGTAATCTCACTACACCCCTCTGTGAATGGCTAAAATAAACAAACTGACCATACCAAGTCCTACAAGGTTGTGGAGGATGGAACTTGCATACGTTGCTGGTGGTAATGAAAAATAGTGCCAACACTTTGAAAAACATTTTGTCAGTTTATTTCAATGTTGATCCTACACCTGCCATATATGATCCAGCTGCTACACTCCAGATGTATCTACCCAAGAGAAAGAAAGCATATATGTTCAAGCAAAGATTATACGCAAACGTTCATTGCACCTTTTTTTTTTAATAAGAACTGCAAATTGGAAAAAAAATAATATCCATTACCAGGTGAGTGGATAGATCAAATTGTGGTATACCCACACAATGGAATGTTGGCCAACAATAAAAAAGAAAAAAATACTCATATACGCAACACATGGACAAATGTGGAAATAGCTTGACAGAAAGAGGAATGACAAAAAAAATACACATTTTATGAGTCCATTCACATAAAATTATTGGAAAAAATCATAGTAACAGAAGATCAGTGGTCACCCAAAAATGGGGTAGGGTGATGTAGAGAGGGAGGCTAGAGAGGTAGATGGGGGCATTACAAAGGGGTACAAAGAAACTTTCTGAAGTGATGAATATGTTCCTTATCTTGACTGTAGTATTGGATTCACAAGTGCATATAGATATAAAAGCTTATTAGAGATTATACTTTAAATATGTACAGTGTATTGTATGTCAACCAAACTTTAAGGAAATATTTGACATATATTTACATATTCATAATTTTTCGATACAATTCCATTAGGTGAAAAATTCCCATGATTATATTCTTATAATATTTTTTAAAAGATTTTATGTATTTATTTGACACAGAGAAAGAGCACAGGCAGGGGGAGCAGCAGAGGGAGAGGGAGAAGCAGGCTCTGTGCTGAGCAGGGAGCCCGACAC